CCCCCCCCCCCCCCCCCCCCCCCGAGTTGGGAATGACTAGCACATATGTGTGAGGGGAACCTTTACCTTTTATATTACTTCAAGCACTAATGACACATTCTGCATGCTTGTTTAGAAACAGGCCCTATTTGTTCAGAGGCTCTTACTCTATTTAGGATTGCAGCCTAGATAAAGTATATTGAGCCAGCTGTAGAAGTTTTGCTATGTCAAATGTTTTGACATCTATGGGCTTCTCTGAGCATCCTGCATTTTGCATATCTCTTTCTGTGTCAAGATATAGGTTATTTTCCTGCAATCTTAATTCCAGCCAGCAAAACTATGCTGACATGAAATTAGGCCTGTCTGAATCCCAATATTGCTTGGACTTGGTTTTTTGGCAATGTATTCTCCCCAACAGCGCTAAAAATGTGTCATTTGGTCACTATTAGATAGAAAGGAAATTTCCTATGATAACATTTGAAATGAAAGGCATTATTCCAAATAGTAGCAAATATTTTTTTCATTATTCCTCATGTTTTAGTCACAGCCGCATCTCATATTTAAATTCACTAGTTCTATATCCATATGCTTCTGGACTTTGGAGTGGTGTGCCATTTTAAGAACTCAACGTAATTTGAAGGATACTTACCTGTAATCTTGCTTTTCTTCCCCTTGTGGTTGTGTAGGAATTAATGACTTTTAGCACAAAGACCCCAGAAGAGAGACTTACGCCTTCCAGTAGACAGGTATTAATTTTTGTAGCTAAATGACTTTATGAAAATCCAGTTTGAATGCTGAGTTATATTTCAGAATAGAATGCAACGTCGTCTTAAGGTGAGGCCTACCTCAGTGTCTCTGAATCCAAAAGGTTGTGTCAAAAATTTCCCCAGCTTCATCTACAACACTGCCTCCTTTCATATTGTTCTTAATTTTTCATGCCTCATCACAGGATACCTGTTTTTCACATTATTTGGCCAGGATAGTATTAAATTTTTTTTAAAGATGGCAAACATGTAGTCACCCTATATTTATTATTTTACTTGACTATGGGAAAAGGTTGAGGCACCCATCTACTGCTACATGGAGGAGGCCAATAAAGATGAATTGTGAGAGTTGCCAATTAAGTTTTGAATGCTTAAGTAAAAAAATGATATCTGCAGATAATTTTACCTTTGTTTTAGTTGAAAGCGTGAGGGTTGCCTAGAAGAAAATACTGCATTGAAGGGATGGTCAAGATGGGCACTATATTTAGTTTTTCCAAATTAAAAATCTATTTTAAATAGTATAAACATATCAGTGGTGGGATTCAAATAATTTACCAACCAGTTATCTGCCCTAATGACCAGCTGGGTAGGCGGGGCTTGGTGGTCATGTGATCATGTGGGT